AAATGTCTGTAATTAATAAATATATATAAATATATATACATAAAATCAATTTTTAACAATTATTTAAATATGTTAGCATGTCTAAGAACCACTGAAATCTCCAAGCCATTTAACCAACTCATTCTAGGCTTTGTGTTTTGATATTGTTCTCCTGGAAAAAGTAATTCATAATATTTTCTTGACAGCAGGAAATTCATCAGACCTCGGACTTTTGTGACTAGAAACGTCAGTGGGTGGCTGCTAATGCCAAAGTCAGAGTCATAGAGTCAAAGCAGACATTTATTTATTTTTTTAAAATATATTTTCTATTGATTGCCTGTCTCATCTCTATTATATTTTCTGGTGAAAACAGTTTGGAATATGGAAAAAAAATAGGCCATACATAAAAGCAAACAAAAAGTTTTAAAAATGTAAAGAAGGAAATTTTTTAAATGTATTTTTTTTTCTTTTTTTTTTTGGTGAGTAATTAGGGAAGCAATACCATAGACAGCTCTTCTGTGTAGTATAACCATACCTGGCAGACACATTTGTTGTAAAGGAAACACATTCATTGATAAATGTTAATGGCGTAGTTCCTGTAATATCTTCCCACTGAGCAGGGGTGGTTCCACCTGGAAAACATACAATTGTTAAAAAAATTAGACAAAACTCCAGATTCTGGAGTCCAAAATAGCCTTTGCAATTTCAGCTATGCATACCAGAGTCTCTCCTCTCAACTTTCAAAATGACACATTGAAAACAAAATAACTAAAAGTGATGTTAAAAATGGCACGCAGACAGAACCTCTGAAAATAACTAGCAGACAGAACCTCTCAGGGAACTGCATTTAAGAGGGGTTATTTGAATAACTGCTTCAAATTACTGGGTGCTTCTATTCTCTACTCAACATTCTGAAGCTTTTATTATAATGACTAAGTCCTGAAGAACATTTTGAATTGTATACAGCTGATGATTTTGTTAAAAGATTCTTTGAGTAACAAAGGCACTGAATACTTGATTAAAATAACAACTCAAATATCATTTTATTATTGTTGTTGTTGTTGTATGCCATCAAGTTGAGCACGACTCATAACGACCCTATGAACAAAAGGCCTGAAGCCTTTCTATAACTATCATCATTTATCAAAGTTCATAGAGTTTCCAGAGGCATGTGGTTTAGGAAGCAGATGCCACTCTTGCTTCTTAAACTTCATATTCTATGTCATTAGTTTCATAAAATGGCATTTCTCCTCCATATACAGTTAAAATGTGGCAAAAAAAGAAATGTTGGAAAAGATCAAAAGTTCCATACATACCACATAAACAAGTGTTCAGAAGTCTCTATGGCTAGATAGTTACCATGAGACTTAAGATCACTGCCTGTCTTTCCTAACTACTATGAAATTAAACTAACATCTCTCTCTATGTCATTGTTGTCAAGTCAGAACCAACTCATAGCTGCTCAATAAGCAGCTTTTAGGAAGCTGTAGATCACACAGGAAACTGCCCATATTTCTCCTGTAGAGCTGCTGGCTGATTTGAACTGCCAGAGAGAAGCTCACTTTAGGTTAGCAGCACAGTTCCCCATGAACAATGCCACCAGATCGCTCTTAAATGGACATAGGCAAGGGAAAATCCAGTGGATTTAACGTACTGAAGGAGGAAGATATATATCTTGAGAGAATAAAAACTTTGACTAAATTTTCTTGAAGAAAGCAATAAGGTCTGTAAGAAAGCTTAGGGAACACATTTAGCAAGATTTTTAAAATATGCATTCTTAAAACTATGTACCGTAACACACCAAAATATACATTTAAAAATCTGTTTAGTGGGGTTTTTTTAAAAAAAAACATAAATTTAAGAATTTTTTTTAGTACAAACACATTACAAGAGAAAAATAAAAAAGTAACCCACTGCCATTCAGTCTTTTCCAACTCATGGCAACCCTTCATCAAGTTTCTAAGAAAGGAAATCTTCTAAGGAGGCTGCTTATCTTTTCTTCAGTAACAGCTTGTGGCTTTGAATTGCTGATCTTTCAGTTAGTGCAATTTATAACAAACTATTTTACCAGAGCTCTTACTGAAGACATTGGATCATGTCTAAAGAATATCTTCACTTATCATTTAAAAAGACCAGGTATATCATAGCATTTCCCAGTCTGATAGGTTCACTCTCATGTTGCCTTACTGCACCTTAAAGAAGAGTTAATACAGGAAGCTAAAAACTATAGGAAGGACACTCAAGAATGCAAGGAAATAAAGCAGAAATTAGTAAATATATTGTTGTTATTAGGTTCTACTGAGTTGAGTATGACTCTTAGCGACACCAAAAACAATAGATAGCAATCCTGTCCTATCCTGTACCAACCTCACAATTTTTGACACACTCAAACCCATTGCTGCAGTCACTGTGTCAATCCACCTGGTTGAGGGTCTTCCTCTTGTTCATTGTCCCTCCACCTTCCCAAGAATGATGTCCTTTACCAAGGAATAACCTCTCGTAGCACCAAGTCCAAAGAATGTGAGACAAAGCAGCACCATTCTTGCTTCCCAGGAACACTCTGGCTGCACTTTCTCCAAGACATATCTGTTTTTGCTTTTGGTAGTCCACAAGATATTCAGTTCTCTCCTCCAACACCACCATTCAAAGGCACCAATTCTTCTACTGGCATCCTTATTTATTGTCTAGCTTCCAGATACAGAGCAAGTGATTGAAAAGATCATGATTTTGATCAGACATACTTTGGTCCTCAAACTAACATCAATGCTCCACAGTAATTTGGAGAGGTCCCTGACTGCAATACACCTCCTGATTTTCTGACTGCTGGTATCAAGTGTATTGATTGTGGATCCAAGTAAGATGAAGTCGTTGGCAATTGCATTCTTTTCTCCATCTATCATGTGTCACATATTGGTCTAGTAGTGAGAATTTCTGTTTTCTTGATGTTAAGATACACTCCATACTGAAGGCTTCTGTGTTTCATCTTCTGCAGCAAGTGTTTCAAGTCCTTCTCATTTTTAGTAAGCTAGGTTGTGTCATCTATTGAAGTAAAAGCTAAACAAAAGATTTCAAAGGGCAGCTTTAGAAGACGAAATAAACTATTCATAAAGGAATATGCAGAGATCTAAAAGTGGAGAATAAAAAGGGAAGAAGTTGCTTGGCATTTCTCATGTTGAAAGAACTGAAAAACAAATTCAAGCTTCAGGTTGCAATACTTAGAGATGCTATGGGCAATATCTTGAATGATCCAGAAAGCATCAAAATAAGACAGAAGGAATACACTCAATCACTGTATGAAAACCAATTGGCCAACACTGAAATATTTCAAGAAATACCATATGATCAAGAGCCAATTGTAAGGAAAGATGAAGCTGAAGTGGCAAAGAAGAAGTTCCCAGGAACCAATGGGATACTAATTGGCATGTTTTAATTAACAGATATAGCCTGGATGTGCTCAGTCAGGAAATTTGGAGGATAGCTGCCTGGCCAACCAACAGGAAGAGAGCCATATTTGTTCCTGTTGCCAAAAAATGTGACCTAATATAACTTAAAAATTATAGAACAATATCATTAATATCATACACAAGCAAAATACGGCTGACGATCATTAAAAATGGCTAGAACAGTACATAGAGAACTGCCAGAAGTTCAAGCTGAATTTAGAAGAGGCCATGGAGCCAGGGATATCATCATTACTGATATCAGATGGATCCTGGCTGAAAGCAAAGAATACCAGAAGAAGAATGTCGACTAGGCAAAGGCATTTAACTATGTGAATCTTAAAAAAAAATATGGCTAACATTGACAAAAATGGGAATCCCAAAACATATAATTGTGCTCATGTGAAACCAAAACACCTAGCTGTGCTCATGTGAAACCTATACCTAGACCAAGAAGCTTTTGTGCTAATAAAGCAAGGGAACATAAAATGGTTTTAACATAAGAAAGGCGTGGGTCAGGGTGTGTTCTTTCTCCATACTTTTTCAATCTGTTTGCTGAGCAAATTATTTGAGAAACTGGACTCTATGAAGAAGAATGTGGCATCAGGTTTGGAGGAAGACTCACCAATTACCTTCGGTATGAAAATGACACATTGTTGATTGCTTGTTGTTGTTTGTTGCTGTTATGTGCCATAGAATCACCTGCGACTCATAGCAACCTTGTGTACAACAGCTCTGAATTCGGCTCTATCTAGAGCCAATTTCATTGTCTCCAACACACCAACCCTCATTACCCTAGTCACTGAGTTAATCCATTTCATCCAAGGTCTTCCTCGCTTGTACTGTCCCTCCACCCTTCCAAGCATGATATCCTTCTCCAAGGACTTGTCCCTTTTGGCAACATGCCCAAAGCATGTGAGACAAAATTTAAAAATCCTTGCCTCCAAGGAGCAGCTTAGTCACCTTCTCCAGGACAGACCTGTTTGTTCTCTTAGCAGTCCATGGTATGTTCAAAACTCTTTTCCAGCACCACAACTCAAAGCCATGGATTTTTCTTCAGTCATCCTTGGTCATTGTCTAGCTCTCTGATGTATAACAGGTAATTTTGAACACCATGGCTTGAGTCAGGTTCACCTTAGTGTCTAGACTACATTGTTGCGCTTCAGTACTCTGGAGAAGTCCATAAGAGCAGATTTTCCCAATTCAATTTGTCTTTTCATTCCTATAACTCATACTTACTCTGTAAACATCTTCAGGATCTCTGTCTTGCTCAAGCCCATGGTGATAGTCACTGTGTCAATCCATTTCATTGTGTGTCTTCTTCTCTTTCACTGACACTTTATCTTTCCCAGAATGATATATCTCTATGAGACTTGTTCCTCCAGAAAATATGCCCCAAATAAGTAAGATGAAGTTACACCATTATTTCCTCTAAAGAGAAACTTGGATGCATATCCTTCAAGACAGATTTATATGTTATTTTGACTGTAGTTAAATTCTGTTGAGTCAGCTATGATTTATAGTAACCCTATGAACAACAGACCTGAACTCTGCCTTATCCTGTGCCATCTTCACCATCCCTGACATACTTGAGCCCCTCACATAGACTGTGCATCAATCCTTCTCATTAAGAAACTCTCCTCCTTCATTGACAGACTTTCCAAATATAAAATCCTCTTCCAAGTACCGGCCTCTCCTAATAACATGCCCAAAGTATCTGAGATAAATTTCACTATCTTTGCCTCCAAGGAGTTCCCTGGCTTCACCTTTTCGAAGCCCATGGTATATTCAATACTCTTCACCAACACCACAATTTAAAGACATCAATTCTCCTGTCATCTTTATTACTCAAATTTGTAATGCATAAAAGGCAACTAAAAACACCATGGCTTGGATAAGACACACCTTATATTGCTTGGATAAGATACACCTTAGTCTTTAAACTGACATCCTTGCTCTTTAGAACTTTGCAGAGGTCCATGACAGCAGGCTTCCCAAATGCAACATATCTTTTGATTTCTTAACTACTGCTCCCATGAGCTGGATTACAGATCCAAGTAAAATGAAATTATTCACAACTTTAATCTTTATCTATCATGCTCTTATCTATCGGATTTTTCATGAGAATTTTTGTTTCCTTGATGTTGAGATATAACCCATATTGATGGCTATATTTTTTATCTTCTGAAGTAAGTACCTCTAGTTCTCTTCACTTTCTTCAAACAAGGCTGTGCCATCTGCATAGCACAAGTTGCTCATGAGTCTTCCTCCAATCCTGATGTCAAGTTTTTCTTCATGTAGTCAGCTTCTCAAATTATTTGCTGAGCACACAGACTGATGAGGCATGGAGAAAGGATAAAGACCTGATGCACAATTCCTATTTTGTAGGAACACAATTAAGTGTTCTAGGATTCCCATTCCATAAGTTGTTATACTCCATACAATTAAAATGTCTTTCAGAGTCAATAAAAAATACCTTTCTGATATTCTCTGCTTTCAGCCAAGATCCACTTGAAATTAGCTCTTTTGCCAAAGTCTCTTCTGAATGCAGCTTGAACTACTCATATTCAGGGTCAAATTGAAATTGAAACAGGTCCACAAAAACCAAGATATGTCCTTGAGTGTATCCTAGCTAAATTAAAAAAACCTCTTAAGAATATACTTAACACACGGAATACTAATGACTACAGATCAGAAGAGTTGTGGGATGGCATGAAGGACATCATGAAGGAAGAAGGCAAAAAGCAAGGACAAAGGCAGGGAAGAAAAAAAAGATCAAAATAGAAGTCAGAAGAGACTCTGAAACTTACACTGGAACAAAAAAGAAGCTGAAACAAGGTTAATGAATGCTAAGTTAAGAGCACTGAACACAAGAGTTAAGGGTAGCTAGAGAAGACAAAGCAAAGTATCATAATAAAATATGCAAAAAGTTGGTTCTTTATTATAAATAAAAAATCAAAGAAAGTATAGAAAAAAGACAAAAATAAGGTAAAAATTTCTTTCTACATAGAGGAGAAATTGAAAACAAGTGATCTGAGCATTATTAAAAATAAACAATACTATTCTTATCAATAACCTATGAATAATTGCTGAATGCAACACTATGTAATTATTCACTCAATAAAATTATAAATAATTAATGAATTGCATAACATGAATTTATTATTAAGTACAGAAGAAACTCTGAATATTGCACTGGAGCACAGAGAAGCCAAAGCTGAAGGAACACTTCAAGATACTAAAGAGCTGAACAGAAGATTTCAAAAGGCAGCACTGGATGAAAAGTAAAATATTACAATGAAATGTGCAAGGAGTTAGAGTCAGAAAATCAAAAGGACTGAACTTGCTCAGCATTTCTTAAGCTCAAGTAACTGAAGAACAAATTCAAACCTCGAGCTGCTATAATCAAGGATGCTTTAGGCAGAATATTAAATGATCCAGGAAGTATTCAAAGAAGATGGAAAGAATATACTGAGTCACTGTATCAAAAGGAATTGGCAGACACAGAAGAATTGGTGATGAAGGAAGAAGTTCAGGCTGCTTTGAAGGAAATGACAATAAATAAGGCCCCAGGAATAGATGGTATACCAATTGACATATTTCAACTAACAGATGCTGCCCCAGATGTGCTCACCAAGTTGTGCCAAGAAATCTGGAGAACAACCACTTGGCCAACTGACTGAAAGAGATCTATATTTGTTCCCATTCCAAAGAAAGGTGACCATATCATTGATTTCACATGCAAGCAAGATTCTACTGAAGATTATCAAAAAATGACTAGAACAGCACATCAGCAGAGAACTGCCAGAAGTCCAGACTGGGTTTAGAAGGGGTCATGGTACTAGGGATATTTGTAGCTGATGCTAAATGGATTTTAGCTGAAAGGGAATACAGGAGAAATGTCTATCTGTTTTTCATCAATTATGCAAAGGCATTTGACTGCGTGGGTCATAACAAACTGTGGCTGACTCTGAAGAGAATGCAAATCCCAGAACACTTGATTGTACTAATGCAAAATCTATACTTGGACCAAGAGGCAGTCGTCAAAACAGAGCAAGGAAACACTGCATGGTTCAAAATTGGGAAGGGCGTACACCAGGGATGTGTTCTGTCTCCATACCTTTTCAACCTGTATGCAGAACAGATTATCCAGGAGGCTGGGCTCTATGAGGAGAAATGTGGCATCAGGATTGGTGGAAGATCTATCAACAATCTGCGTTATGCAGATGACACAACCCTGCTTTCTAAAACTGAGGAGGACCTGAAGTGCCTGCTGAAGAGGGTGAAGGACTGTAACCATCAATATGGATTGAGGCTCAATGTCAAGAAGACAAAGATTCTCACCACTGGACCAATGGTAGCATCAGGATGGATGGTGAAGAGATTGAGATTGTTCACAGCTTTTGTTTGTTTGGCTCCACAGTCAACACTCTTGACACTAGCAGCCAAGAAATTAGAAGATGCATTACGATGGGAAAGTCTGCTGTTAGGGACCTCTCCAAAGTACTAAAGAGCAATGGTGTCTCTCTGGAGACTAAGGTGCATCTAATACAGGCCATTGTCTTTGCAATCACTTGTTATGCATCAGAGAGTTGGACAAAGACTAGGGAGGATAGAAAGAGAATTGATGCCTTTGAGCTGTGGTGCTGGAGAAGAGTATTGCATGCCCCATGGACTGCTAAGAAAACAAATAGATTCATCCTGGAGACGGTTAACCCGGGCTGCTCCTTGGAAGCAAGGATTCTGAGGCTTCATCTGGCATACTTTGGACATGTTGTAAGGAGGGACTGGTCCTTAGAGAGGGACATAATGCTTGGGAGGGCCAGCGCGGAGGAGAAGATCCTCTATGAGGTGGACTGATTCAATGACTGGGGTAATCGGGGTGGGTGTGTTGGGAAAAGTGTGATTGACAGAGGATAGAGTAGAGTTTAGGGCTGTTGTACGTAGGGTCACTATGAGTCACAGGTGACGTGACGGCACATAACAACAACAACAACAACCACTCAAATTCCTTAACTCTAAAACTTCTCAGTTACTTATGTGTGTGTGTACTTTTCACTTCCCATACTCTGTGGTGTGCAGGGAAAACCCATGTTCTTAGACTGCCTTTTGAAAGTTCAGTAGTTTTCTACAAGCTACTAAAACTGTCGATTTAAAAGACAAAATTTTAGTTAATCATGAAATATCTTTACTTTGTTTCTCTAAAGTTAATAGAACAATAATACAGTAAAGACCGTGACAAAAAGTTTGGTTTCGACTCTTATCTTTCAAGAAACTAATTTTTCAACAGTGATAGTTTCGTTAGTGAAGGATTCAAGTCTGAAATTGGAAGTTTATGTTTTTAGGTTGGAATTTCAATTCATACAAATATTCACAATATAATCATGGGTAAGTTATAGACTTCTCTCAGCCTTGCTTTATTTAACAGAAAAATTGAACCATAGTTTCCCTGTAAAATTATTATGAAGATGGAAATAAATACAACACATATGAAGAATCCAATGATCCCATATAAACTATCTAATAAATATTAGTTCTCTTTCTTTGCTTTGTCTCTTGTATCAGAATTTATAACTTCCTGAGTTAATGTATATCTTTCTACATACATCTTATGATGAAATGTGATTTACCGTTTTACAATGATTTAATTTTTTTCCTTTCAGAAATTTCTATTCATATAGTTATATATGACTCACCTGTTATACTGCATAGTAATCTTAAAGTTGGTGCATCACCCCCAAAACCATTCAACATGACATCACTTGCAGCTTTGGGGACAGGAATAGTCATGGTAATTGGCTTGTGGAATTTTCTTCTTCTAGGTTCCAAAGTGACTATTGGGCTGAAGGTAGCTTTGTTGCCTAGAATTTTTTTAACCAGTTCACTGTGCATAGGTTGAGCCTATTCAAGGAAAAGAAAAACATTAAATAACACCCTAAGTAGTGCCATAAATATCTTCTTACCCAAAGCTTTTTTATTTCAAAAAGGACTTTGGTGTATTTTAAAATGGGAAAGCTTAATTTTAGTATTGTTACTAAGTATACATATAAACTTAAAAGAACTAAGATTTTTGGAACTCTGGTGGACTAGTGGCAGTGGGCTGCGCTGCAATCCCGAAGGCACGTGGTTCAAATCCACCAGATGCTCCGCTGGAGGCGGGGCAATCTCCTCCTGTGCCAGTCGGATCCGATTCAATGGCATACAACAAGTAAACAACAACAATAACAACTACAACAAAACCAAAACTAGGAGTTTTGCAGTTGTTGTCCTAAACTGTGAAAAACTTAATCCTGCTACCATTTATTCTTTACAATATAAGCTAAATATTAATTATATGTATAAAAATTATGCTAAGAAAACTTGGTTCAGCACTGACATACCTGTAAGCCTACACGGATCCGCTTAGTTAGTGCCCCTTCTGGGAAGACTGCCTGCACCTGGGGCACCACTGTGCTGCTCAGCACACCTCCTTCGGGGCCAATCAGATTGCTGTCCTGTTTGATGCGAGACACCACTGCAAAGTACTGTGGGAAGTCACGAGTGATGATGCGGCAGATTCGTTTCTTTTCTAGGTCTTCTGGGCTATCTAGCACTGAGACAAAAACAAAACAAAACAAAACAAAAAACAAAAAGCCAAAAACAACCAATCTTCATATAGCAAAGATTTTCTTCTTATAATATTCTAGCAAACTTCAACTTCATTGGCACAGCTGATAGTGAACAAAGGTGGGAGAACTCTTTTGTTATAGCAAACCAGAAATTAATAAAGCATAGCTATTCTAGAAATATATGTGCACATATTAAAGCACATAAAATGACAATGGTATTATCCCTGTTATAAGAACTAGCCAGAATAAACACTTTTGAAAGACAAGTGTTTATTAATAGTTATCAAGGATGGGTCCAATTTATAACTGAGGCTCCAGCAGGCTTCATAGGTTGTAAATCACATGGGGGGAGATTAATCCATCTTTCTCCCACCAAGTTGCTGGTTGATTTGAAACACCAGGGAGGGTTGGCCTGTGAGTTAGCTGTGTAACTCTCTAAGACTACACACAACCAGAGCCAAATTGGAGTACAAAAGAGACTCACTGTGTATGGGGATGCATAGGTTCTATTAAAGGCATAGGAAATATTAGACATGTATAAAAGTGATAACTGAACAACTCAGTAGACATAATTAATGTTATGGTACTGAATGAGTTAAGAATGCTGAAATGGTAAGTGTGTGTGTGTGTGTGTGTGTGTGTGTGTGTGTGTGTATAATTATCACAATGGGGAAAGCAATCTTTTAAGATTTATCAGTATTTTCCCTTATGCTTTTTCTTTGTTACTAAAACTAAGACTTTCCAAGGTACTAGGAAAGCAAAGCATCGACCAGATGCAGTGTCCTAGATCTGCCTCTGTAACGAGGAGCTCTTGGGGGAAACCTGGAATGAAAATGAATTCAATCTATTCTTAGTGCATGTGCTAAGGAGGAAATTGTTCATAGGATCTTTTCCTTTGCAAATCTCAAAGAGAGTTCAAAGACCAGTTTTTGTGGTTTTAAAAAGCAATAAGATCCTTTTCGTTCTGCGGGGGATTTGGCAGGTATGGGACAATTTATCTTGGAAGGGTAAGATTTATATTTGTGCTTTTGCTCCATTGGGTGCATTATCTGACAATGACTGTAAATATAAGAAAACATCAATAGGATGGAATCATGGGCATTTTATAAATTTCATCATTGCATGGCAATACCACAAATCATAGTTCTTTAAACTGGAGGACATCTGAACTAAGTGGATCACTGATACATTTTTAAGTGATTATGGATTGATCACTGACACCTTTTTAAGGGATTATGGATTATTGTTCAGTTTTAGAAACAATTTACCACTTATTTTAGAGCTAGGAACAGTAAGTGCATATTTTTCTTGACTAAATGCGAAACCTATACTTGGACCAAGAGGCAGTTATCAGAACAGAGCACGGGAACACGGCATAGTTCAAAATTGGGAAGGGCGTATACCAGGGATGCATCCTATCTCCATACGTTTTCAACCTGTTTGCACAACAGATCATCCGGGAGGCTGGGCTCCATGAGGAGTAATGTGGGGTCAAGATTGGTGGACGATCTATCAATAATCTGCGTTATGCAGATGACACCACCCTGCTTTCTAAAACTGAGGAGGACCTGAAATGCTTGCTGCAGAGGGTCAAGGACTGCAGCCTTCAGTATAGATTGAGGCTCAATGTCAAGAAGACAAAGATTCTCACCACTGGACCAATTGGCAGCA